TGGACTGCAGAAACCTTTAGCTATCCACTACGACCGCAAATCGCATACTCTTCTCGTGTGTAATGAATCCGGGAAATGCTTTGTATATACAGTTACATAATGAATTATTCTAAAATACAAAAGAAGAAAATAGTTTGATATATCGATGGTATCTAGCATTCCATCGCTAAACACTTTCCTTATAAAGTCTGGTTCTAGGGAAGCATTTTGTTTGTCATCGAGTGAAGTACCTAAAGCTTTGTACATATCGTCATAGATACAGAAAAGATGTCTTTGTATTATAATTCAAAAGTAATGCTAAAATCTTGTTGAAAAATTGTTATTTGTTTAATTCAAATTTTCGAGGTAAAATTGGAACATTTTTAATTATCGTATTCATGAAAAGATAGTGCAATATCAGAAAACGGTCACACTTGTTTCTTTTTCCATGAGCTTTTGTCAAGCAACTTTCTCACTAGACTAATCCTAATTTGATTCTGGAAGATCAAATTGATAGCTAACCTACACAAAGGATCAGTTTGAGCTGTTGTAATCATTTGGCGTCCGTCTTTCATGGTTGTCGTCCGTCGTCAGTTGTCATCGTCTGTCGTCCACGACGTTGTCCGGTAATTTTTATAAAAATCGTCACACCTTAAACTAATCAGCATAACTGAACCAAATTTGGCATCATCATGCTTTTGATCCTCTTTTCGGACAAGAAGTTTCCGATGATTCAGCTCGAAAATCAACTTGGCCACCAAGGCAAAACACAAAGCATTCGGGTAAAATGCAAGTACAGTCTTCATTAAAAATCCGTTATAGATAAAGAAAATGGGAAAGACCCAACAAACATTGTAAAATAAGGGGATGTGGTATGATATCCAATGAGTCAACTACCGATCAAATAACGTGGATGTTACAAATTATAGGTCACCGTACGGCCTTAAACAATCAGCAAAACTCATTCCTTAGAGTCAGCCATAAAATGTCCCTAACAATTTTACCAAAAAAAAAAATCAACGGTCTGATTTAGAACAAAAAATCAATATCACAGGCTGGTGAAAAAGAAGGTGTCGTGGCCAAACATGTTTGTGTGCGCTCTACTCTCCCCCTTACCTGGGACAAAGTTGAAACAGTTCAAAATAGGAACAAACTGTTGAACCCATTCCGAAATGGTTTGACACTCCACATTTGGTCGACACAAAATATGTTCAGAATGTCAAGATCCACTAAATATCTATTTTGACCAAACTTTTCAGACGACTCCTTATGTGATTTCTTGCCTTAATAGATCTTTGTTACTTATTTTGTTTTTGTATTTCCTTATTATCTTGAATACTATAATATACAAAGGAAATCTTGAAAATCAAAAATGATTGGCATTACTAGATCTACAAAAAAGTCTGATAGTTCAAATCGAAAGTCGACCCCCTTTAGGAGTAATTGTCCATCAATGAAGATTTTTACTATTTTTGAGGATTTAACCTTTTATCTTGAAATATATCATAGATAGAGATAAACTTCAACGACAAAAAAAGATCAGCAAGTCAAGATCTACAAATTAGTCTTCTTGCTGAAAACGTAAGTGGATTCTTTATCGCCCTTATTTAGATTTTTTACTAATTGTTTTGGTTTTTACCTATTATCATGATTTTATTGAAAACTAAAAAAGAAAAAGAGAAACTTAACATATCAAAAACGATCAGCAGGATCTGGAAATAAGTCAAATGGCTGAACTCACCAATTGAATACCTGTAGGAGATCTTTCCCCTAAATGACGACTTTTACTATTGTAATTGTTTTGTATACTATAAAAAAAGATCCAGATAAAAATTCAAAAAAAAAACAGAAAGAATAATCGGCAATACAAAATCTTTATTCGGATCAAGATAGCCAAAATTGTCAATTGTCTCATTGCAGGAGTTTTCACAATTAAATGACGCTATTTACCATTTTCGTGTTTTTACGGCAAAATCTATAGTAGATAGAGAGAAACTGTAAACAGCTGAAATGATTAGCAAAACAACATAAAAAAATAAGTTAAACAGTCGAAACTGTCAAAGAACATTGCATGGGAGTTATAGCTCTTTAATGTCATTTTGCCTTCTTTTTTTTTATTTTTGCGACATCATCAGCTTTAGAAAAATGGAAAACCCCAAAATAATCAGAAAGACAATATCAACAAATAGGTAGACAAAGAAGAAATTGTCGACCGTTTATAGGGGTTATTATCCATAAAATACCATTTCACAAAGTTTTGCATTTTCGTCAAAGACTACAAAAGATAGGAAGAAACTGTAAAAAAAATATTAGAAAGACACGATTTAGAAATAAGTCAAATGGCCAAAATTATCAGATCTTTCCTTCAACGCATCTCTGGTTTTCAAATGTTTAAATGTTTAGGTTGAAGCGTTCCTCATTAAGGTAAATTCAGAACAGCGTTTCGGACGGACAAACGTGTTTATTTCATTTACTAGCACTGCGTTTATATTGCTGTTAGTGGGTTGTTAGTCCCCGGTGTATCATCAACTCAGTAACACCCTTTCCAGTTCTATAGATCTTAAACAATAACTTATTACAACTCCAGATCATTACAGTAGCCAATGTTATATCCTATCCCATCATTGTGTTATTGTTACATGATCTCTGTCTGTTTTTGCTACGAATTTGGTGGTCAAAAGTTTCCAATTAGTTACCTATAGTTTCACAAGTCAACTTATACAAAAAGAGGAAGTTCAACCCTTACACGTAGCCATCTGTGCATTTTTGTGTCGGCCCATTTGTTTTTAAACTTAATTTTGCGTCGTTAGGTAAAACTCAATTTGCCGCAGTAAAAACTCTGTTAAAATAACAACAAGTTATCTTCTAAGCAAAACATAGCTTTCAATTTGAAATTTTCGGACACATAAAAACGTATATTTTTTATGTATTTGGTGAAGCCATGTCTTAAAACTTGCCTGTTGTCAGAATACATTTTGAGGTGTGAATACGGTTATATTAGCTAAAGATTATTCCTAGCAAATATGATTAATCTAACATGCTTAATGCATATAGTAACCGACGCTTCATCTTAAAAAAAGTAGTATCAACCCAGTGCTGTAAAAAATTTAAAAAATATGACACTTTTATGCTTCCGAATCACTTTTCTGAATTAACCTTCATCAGAAACGCTGAAAGCCAAATGTTTGAAATTCAAAGATGTGTAAGTATCATCTAATGTCAAATTTGCCTGAGTAGTTGGAACCTTTGTTTCTTAATAATTACTAAATTTATAAACTAGAAATGTTTGTTATAAATCATGTCAGTTCCGAATCATTGACTTCTAAGCTGGTGATACCCTAGGAACTAATAGTTGAAAATCCGTATAAATGAGGCATGAAATTGAAGTCAAAATAGTATCAAGTATCTTGGTATAAAATTTGAAACATTTTAAGTTTTCTCAACAAATCCTATTAGGATAAATATTTTCAAAAAACGTAGCATCCACAACATTGGTCTTCGCGCATTTCTGTGCGCTTGTTTTCATTTAAAAGAAGACATTTTTATAATTTGGCATCACTTTTTCAAGCTAATACTATAAATTAATATAAAGGATTCAATTTCGAGAGGAGATATCGCAATAGGTTATCTTAATTTAAATTGAATTAGCACTTTTTTTAACTCTTTTTGCGTAACAAGTAACCAAACAAAGAAAGTTACTGGAATTGTTTCTTTAAATACATATTTTGCAAAACATTTTATAAAGCCACCTCTGCATGTTCCATTTCAAATGTCTATGATCGTTTTATTTTAATTAACAATTTTCATATATATTTGCCTATTCCATCATTGATATTATAATTACCAGTTTTTTTTATATCATATCATTCGAATGCATCGCAATATTGTTAACGAGTAGCTCATTATTACAAATTATCAATGTACTTCACAGTGTTTCATTATCATTATTAATGAGAGATACCAATAGTTATCTGAGACGAATATAGCATGTTCATTGTGCAAACACAACACAAAACTGTGATAACGTGATATTTATAACGACATATTAATTTCCAGGAAATTAAAACATAAATATATTGTGTTGAGAAGTCTGCATATTATTATGATGAAAAAAAGCATATCGAATATTTAAGGATATTTTCAAAGAAATATATTTTACATTATCAAATGAAGTTGAACGGCGACTTTTCACTATGTTAAGTTCAGTACGCAGAAGTTAGAAATATTAATAGGCAGACATACAGGGATTAAATGAAGTAAATAATCTGAAATTATGCTACATTGAAGTTGAGGATGAAATTTGTTTTCTTTCTCAGTGACCTGGTTTGAAATTCAAAATTGAACTATACTAACGGTACAACCTGCCCAAATATTCAAAATTAATACGATATACCCTATATACGTCGACCGAATGTTATTCTATAATTGAAAGCATATGTTTGCTATGAGGTTCCTGATAGTGTCCTTCGTTTAAGTGTTATTTAAATATTAGGCCATTTTTCTCATTCTTAATTGTTTGCTCATTATTCTCTATTCATTATGTTTTATCATATTTGATTGTTTATAGTACTCTTCGTTTTTTGGTCTATCTTATCATTGCCGTATGTTCTGTGTTTTCCATATTCTCTTTTGTGTAAACCCCATCAAGACCCTCTATTATTGTGTTAATGTTTCATCTAGAATATATATAAAATATAATTTAGTTTTTGGTAGTATGACCGTCTACATAATCATATCTTTTGTATGCATGATCATTTGTGTTTTCAGATTATATATATATTTCACTTGTTTAATTGCCAAATTAACCAATGTAAAATGCAATTAACCAATGTAATAATTATGTAATTAACCAATCTAATATGTAATCCATTGAATGCATTTCAACTTGATTGCACTGCTCATTCCTGGACTTAATGATAGACAAAATGAAAACTCTGCATTGTTTCAAATGGTATCTGATCGTATCAAGACTCAAACAGTCAAAGGGACATAACCGTAGTTGTTTGTGAAAGCTGTATCACGTGACAGTACTTCCTGATTGCATTTCGGTCAGCAGACTGTAATAACACTTACACAAAGGATCTGTAATAATTGTTGTAACTAGTTTTTGTTAACAAACTGAGTCTTAAAGTAAGTACTTAACTTATTGTCCGACATGAACTTTATGATTAAATTTGTTCTTTCGTTTTCTTGATCTGTAATCAAGACAATAAACTTTCTGTGGTATTTTCAATCGATTTGTTTTGTTTGAATGCGTACATAACTTGGTTTAGAGATAATAGATAGAATATCTATCTTAATAAGTATATGTAAATATATGTCGGTAACCTTAGTTTTGAAATAGATTTTATGGATACAAAATATATTGTAATTATTTCATATAAATATATGTCGGTAACCTCAGTTTTGAAATAGAGTTTATGGATACAAGATATATCGTAATTACTTCATGTAAAAATATGTCGGTTAGTTTTGAAATAGATTTGATGGATACAAGATATATCCTAATCAGTTCATGTTAATATATGTCAGTAAACCCTTAGTTTTGAAATAGAGATTATGGATACAAAATATATCTTAATTAATTCATGTTAATATATGTCAGTACATTGTAGCCTTAGTTTTGGATTAGAGTTGATTGATATAAGATATATCTTAATTAGTTCATGTAAATATATGTCGGGTACCTTAGTTTTGAAATAGAGCTTATGGATACAAGATATATCTCAATAGTTTCATGTAAATATATTTCGGTAACCTTAGTTTTTTAGATAGAGTTTATGGATACATAATATGTCTTATATAGTTCATGTAAATATACGTCAGTAACCTTAGTTTTGAAATAGAAAAGAATTTGTATCAAATATTTCATGAACAGTTTTGAGTATTGCAGTTTTTTCCTTATTCTGTCAACACACTCGTTCAGCATACATTTTATGTTTCAATTAGATATACTGTCATATACTGAATATATATAGAGTAATTAGTAAATTAATGTATTTATAGATGATAAAAGTTGTTCTATCTATCTGTCTATTTCTTATATCAATGTAACTTACGAAAAAGAAATATATACGGGATCAGTAAATTTCACTCTCACTCCATATGGCATTTACTGTCCCCGTATACACCGTATTAGGTCACTAGCACACTGTGTAACGAATTTATCGTGCAGACTATCTCAACGTGTGGCATTCAAACTAGTGGCCTATTTAACTGTAATAAAGTAATCTAAATAAAGTAAAGTCTTCAATATTAAGAAACAACTTTCATTTGTCTATATAAAAACAACTATAACAATTTGTTAGCTTTTAATGTTTTTTTTTCATTTATTTTCAATCGTTTATCATGATTTTCTTCATCTGTTGTCTGGGCGACACGTTGCAGATTTTTCTTCAACATCTTTTTATAAAGCCACGTTACACTGCTACTAACCGTTTATTAAAATAAAACACTCCCGGTATTAATGCATAGGGTCTCCCCGTGTTCGCTTTTAACCAATGATATTCATAGACATGTATAGGACGTAAGCTAATCTATAATACGGTATAATTCTTTGGTTTTTAGTATCTAGTATGTTGTTATTTTAGAGTTTACTGCCTTTTATTTTATGTTCTTTTGTGTACATTTTGTTAATCTACTGAAGATCGAGATCTCAACAAGCTAGGTTAAACCAATCACAAGTCCATGGACAATTTAAGTAATTCAACTCGACAGCCATATATTTTATCTTAAGGTTTGTCGTTATGTGAAGAACTCGATGTTGGTTGCATATCATTAATGGTTTTGGTCAAATTGTTTTATTCATATGCAGATAAAATAAACAAGAAAAATGTTGTTTCTTCTTGCCCTTTTGACCACCATTTCAGAAAAAGTCTTCTTGTGAATAAATTCAAGAAAAAATTGAACTACCTTTATTGCTTTCATTTCATTGGAAGGAACCCCAAAAAGCTTATTATGAACTAGTATATATATTTGTTTAGGGGCCAGCTGAAGGACGCCTCCGGGTGCGGGAATTTCTCGCTGCATTGAAGACCTGTTGGTGGCCTTCTGCTGTTGTCTGTTCTGTGGTCGGGTTGTTGTCTCTTTGACACATTCCCCATTTCCATTCTCAATTTTATTGTTTGAAAATGTAATATATGTATCCTGAAGATATCTTGATCTTGAAAAGCTGAAAAAAGATGTCAAAATTTCATTTTCCTGTGAGGTGAGCGAGCCAGGCTCCTAGGAACTTTAAGTTTAACTTTAAATTTACAAATTCATAAAAGGTTTAGTTATTTACCAGTCAGTGCATTTTTAGCTGAATTTAAACACTACATGCTTATAATTTTTGCTATCGATTTACAGATTAAAGCAATCTTAAATTACCAGGATAGTCAAAAAGGTAGAAATGAATTAAATTCGAAGAAGTTTTTTTTTTTTTTTTAGTAATTTCGTTTATACAAAATATATTCATAAATATGATGTTTCTGCTAAAATTCTAACGTTAAGGACAAAAACAAAAAAAGAAAGAAATACTGGACTATTTGTGCCGACGACAATATCTACATTTATTTACAGATTCGAAAGTGTCGCTTACTTTGACCTGACTAAATATTTAATAATCTATCATCAAATATTATCTAGCTTAAAACACATGAAAATCAAATAAAACTAATAATTTTTGTTTCCATATTTCAGTTGAAAATGGCGACGTCCTTACCAATATGCGATATTTGTATGACAGATAGTACGAAAAAATCTGCCTCTGTTTGGTGTTCAGAATGTGAAGAAACCATGTGCATTAATTGTGAAAAACCACATAGCCGGATGAAACTAACTAAGAACCATAAAACCATACCTATAGAAGATTACCAGGAACTCCTAGTTCTGTTGCTGACGTCAAACAGGAATGTAAAGTTCACAATAGGAAATTAGATTTTTACTGTGTAATTCACAACGAGCCAGGTTGTGTGTCTTGCGTTTCTGAGAAACACGGCGCCTGTCAAACATTGAAGCCATTAACGGAAGTAGTGGACGGAGTGAAATCATCTGCTGCATTTGAAGATTTAGAAGATAGAGCCAAGGATATAAGTGAACTTATCGGCAATTTGATGAAGAATAAACAAGATAATAAAGCAAATTTTACGTTTCAGAAAAATGGAATTAGATCCGAAGTGCAAAAAGTACGAAAGATAATAAATACTCATTTAGATAAACTCCAAACAAATGTTTTAAATAAATTGGACAACGAAGAGAAAAATCAAATGAACATTATAGATAGTTTTATTGAAAAGATCTCAGAAATGCATAAAAATGTCAATCAAATAGTAAACGATTTGAAACAGATCAAACAATACGCATCCGATTTCCAAGCTTTCCTTGGTATCCATGAATGGAATAAAAAAATTGAAGCAGAAGAAAAAGATTTCATGTCTTTCCAAACTGACCAGATAATGGACACTGTTGATATCCACATAGCATTTTCACCGATACTATTGAAGTTCGAGAAAGACGTCAAAGAATTAGGAAAATTAGAAGTAAAGTTTTCTTCCTCAAAGAAAATTCGTTTAAAGAAGGAGAAACAAGGACAAATTTTAGTTCCCGTTTCTCACACTGTAGATAACATCGAATTGACAGAGATTCGTTCTTTTCAGACACCTGATGGAGAGTCCAGTCTAACACTTATAACAGGAATTGATATGTTTGATGACGGGAGAATCGTGCTGGCCGATAACAACACTGTGAACAACAGACTTGTTATCATGAATCCAGATGGACAGTTTTTAAAAAACATAAACCTTCACGATAAGTGCTTTGGTGTAGCAGTGATAGATAAAGATACAGTTGCAACAACGTTAACTAATCAGCTGAAAATTGATATCGTTGATGTAAACTCGTCAAATGTACAACGGTCCATACCTACATGTTATACGTGCTTTGGTATACACTATACAGCTGAACAACTAGTCGTCAATCTGAACAAAAAGACCATTCAATTCTTTGATCTTTCTGGTAATACTTTGTTAACGTTGTCAACATCTAACAATTCCAGTAATTGTTCCTTGTTTAATGATAAACTGTATTACACTACAAGTAAAAGTGATAACGTCTACTCCACTGAATTGAATGGAGAAACTCGTTGGAAATTTGACTGTCAGAAGTCAGATTATCCTTCTGGTATAACCAATGATGCGTCTGGAAATATTTTCGTAGCATGTAGGAATAGCCATCAAGTGATGGTATTAGGAGAAGAAGGGAAAACATCTAGAATTCTTTTAACAAACGAAAATAGTCTACAGAAACCTAGAGCAATACATTACGACCGCAAAAATAACTTCCTTTTTGTATGTAATATATCTGGACAGTGCTTCGTATACAAAGTTACATAATTTGCATTGTCATTCTAACAGTTCCGAATTAAAAGAGAACAGAATTGACAAAAAAAGTATTCCAAATTGTATGAATTATTCAAATCTTCAAAGAAATCTAATTACTATGTGATTAGTTACTTCAAATATATATTGTTTAAGGTAAACAGAATTTCGGTATAATAGAAACCCTATTCAATTTATCTCAATTTCGTCCGTGTCTGATAAATATTCCGTCATCTGTTCATAACTTTGTAGTTCCTGTATGAGGATATTGTTTTGCTGAGATTTAAAGCACTATCATAGTTTATAAATGTTTTTATGCCCCCGCCATAGCGGAGGGGGCATTAAGTTTTATCCTGGTCCGTCTGTACGTCCGTCCGTCCGTCCGTACGTCCAAAAGTTGGTTTCCGTTCTCAAACTTTAGATTGCCTCAACCAAATGTTATGAAACTTACACACAATGCTTATTACTACAAAATACAGATCAAGTTTTAATTTTGGTGGCATCACTTTAACCGTTCTAGAGTTATGCCCCTTTACAAATGGAGAAAATGCTGAATTTTTCGTTTCCGTTCTCTAAAGTAGGTTTGCCTCAACTAAATGCTATGAAACTTTTACACAATGGTTATTACCACAAAATACAGGTCAAGTCGGAATTTTTGTGGTGTCACTTTAACCGTTCTAGAGTTATGTCCCTTTACAAACGGAAAAATTGCTGAATTTTTTGTAACCGTTCTCTAACCTAAGTTAGCCTCAACCAAATGTTATGAAACTTACACTCAATGCTTATTACCACAAAATACAGATCAAGTTTGAATTTTGGGGGTTTCACTTTTATTGTTCTAGAGTTATGCCCTTTACAAATGGAAAAATTGCTGAATTTTTCGTTTCCGTTCTCTAACTTAGGTTTGTCTCAACTAAATGGTATGAAACTTTTACACAATGCTTATTACCACAAAATACAGATCAAGTCGGAATTTTGGTGGTGTCATTTTAACCGTTCTAGAGTTATGCCCCTTTACAAATGGAACAATTGCTGAATTTTTCGTTTCCGTTCTCTAACTTAGGTTAGCCTCAACCGCAAAATGTTATGAAATTATACACAATGCTTATTACTACAAAAAACAGATCAATTTTTTTTTTGGGGGGTGTCACTCTTATTGTTCTAGAGTAATGCCCCTTTACAAATGGAAAAATTGCTGATTTTTTCGTTTCCGTTCTCTAACTGAAGTTTGCCTCAACCAGATGTTATGAAACTTATACACAATTGTTATTACCACAAAACTCAGATCAAGTACAAATTTGGGTAGCGTCACTATTACCGTTTTTCAGTTATGTCCCTTTATAACTTTAAATGATAGACAAGCGGGGGCATCATCTGTGTCTCATGGACACATTCCCCATTTATTTTTTAAATACATGCTGTAAAATTAATCAATATCATGACGAAACCGTTTTGTTTACTACTTTAGCCGCAAGTATTTGTAAAATGTAGATCTTTGATAGGACAATGTTTGAAAAGAAACGAATGTCAAACTGTTCAAACAATATTTTATGGATAGCAAAAATTTCAAAATAGTAAACATGTGAAAAAAATCATGATTTGAAAAATATCAATAAATGTAGATTGGCAGTTGAATCCTTTTATAAAATGCATTGCTTGGAAAATACCATTTGGGTTACAAAAGGAAAAGAAAAATGGTCGACATTATCATCGTGACATCATATTTACACCAAAAATAACAATTTTAAAAATATAAATGCAAAAATGAAACTGCACTTCTGAGAAAAATTAAAACTCATAAGAACGACGTCCGCTGTTGCACATGAAAACAACATAAACATTACACAACACAAAAAGCTTTATTTAAGGTAGCTGGGGTGTCTTCCTCCATCTTGGATTTTGAAATAGCAGATAAAAATCGATCGAGATCTTGAATGAAATGTGCAAACTTTGAGAGTAGTATGTAATTAATGTATTATATTTGTCATGTTAATATATAAAATTATGTATTTTGTCATATTAACGGTTGTATTGAAAAAAAACAGAATATTTTTGTTTGACTCATTCTTATCAATTTTGCCACATAAGGGGTGAGAACTCAGATATAAGGGGGAGATAAATCATACAAAGTAATTTTTATAATAGAATGTGTTGTGAATTTACCTATTTTAGTATGTAGCAAGAAAACGCGTCCGGTGACTCCATTTTTTATTTTTCTTATCTGAAAGCATATTATTAGGGCTATCTTCTCATATTTTATCTTAAAATGCATAATTTATGCAAAATATGACAATTTTGCACAACCCATACCTTTTTATTATATTATGGGAAAAAAGCATGATGTAAACTACATTTTGACAAATTATTAAAAAAATCTATGGATTTTAATTAAGACGACCTGCCCCCCACCTCCACCCCCCCCCCCCCCCCCCCTCCCCCCTTCTACCTTAAAGTTATTATGATCTTGACAATGGCAAAGATAAGCTTTGAAGAGATTTTAAAGCCGATAAAACAAATGCACATAACATTACAGAACGAAACATGCACACATACACAGTCAAATTTTGCTCACGTGAATTTTATGCTAGATTCATTTGAAATTTTTTAAATGTGAATTTCAAATATCAATGGTGTCCAAGTTGAAAAATATTAACCCCAAACTTAAATTTTTGTAATAAAGAAGTAATATAATTATAAAAATGTAATATTTGTTTCATACCTTCCGTTCTATGCCTTGACAATGTCAACTTATTTATAAAATTATATTTTCAGGTGAAATTCACGTGAAAAAGTTTATGTACACTTCACGTGAAAAATTTCACATTAAATTCACGTGAACATTTTCATGTTTAATTCACGTGAATAATTTGAAGTACTTCATCAATCTGGAAAAAAATGCTGCAAGTTATCTAAATTACGACACCTTAAATACAACTTCAATTTTTCAAAACATATATATACATTTTGTGCATATTGATTTTTATCATAGTAGACAAACGCAAGTAACATCATTATCAAGTACAATTTGTAATTTCTTTTGATATAAAAAAAATGATTTAGTGGTTGTCGCTTGTTCTGTTTTTGTTTAGATTTATTGTTAGTTGTTTTTATCTTTTGCATTGTTTTACTTTTTTCATGTTCGGGCCTTTTGTAGCTTACTATATGGTTTGGGTTTTTTTCTAATTGTTGAATGCCGTTCAGTGACAGACATATGTAAAGTTGCTAACTTCTTCATCATTTGGTCGCAGGTGAATAAGTGTCTCTTTGGCAATCATACCACTTCTTACATATATGTTTATATGTTCAACAACAGTTTTACATTGATTTTGGGCAAGTTCCTAAAGCAGGCAGTAGACAACCTGCTTTATGGGGAACTCAACACGTATACCCCAAATCAGTGAAAATTCCTTAAGTAAGAATTTGTTATTGTTAGACATATTTTTTAAAGATGAGTCGCTTTACTTAAAATTGCACAAATTTATGAAAAATGGAACAAATTTTCCTAAATAAAAAGATCATATTATCACGTAATTTTTTGGAAATTTATGAGCCTTTAACATTGACAATATTCAATAGTTGGCCTACAACTTGTCACTTGATAAATCAATGTAGAACATTTGAAAAGAAGTTGCATTTTTAAAGTATTTATACATGTATGTGCCATACATAATATTACAAATATTGATTAAAAAGGTGGAACAATGCAAACATTATAAATACTAACACTATGTGGGTTTAAGAGCTATAGAGGACTGACAAAAGGAAATGCAGATCCGAAATGAATGGAAACCATTCATTTTCCGATTGAACGTGTTCAACCCCTTTGCGGTACTCTTCGTTTACACTGTACTCCTCTAGATCTGGTTTATCTTCATAATAATGACCAGGAAATGTACTACCATCGACATTAAGTAAATCAGCATGAGATTCAACCTCTTGGACATGTTGATCTTGAATGATCATACCATCGTCATCCTGGACTGTGAAGACAGGCTGATCTGTGCCTAACGGTTCTTACGCCAGTATCTATTTGTAGATTCCTATGGTTCGACGTTGTGAGAAAACATTGTTGACATCCCCGACATCATGGTCATTTAAACCTTTGATTGTTTTTAAATATTCGGGCGAGTTTTAAAAAGTTCAACTGAGTAGCGTGACGTCATATGCAGACGACGAACACTGGTGTCAATAGCGATGCAGGACGTTTCGGCCACACTACCGTGTCGGCAACAGTCATTTCGGCCACATTCGTTTCGACCATACTGCCAGTTTATCCACACTTCGTGAAGTTGTTTTGACTACGATCTTTATTGTTATAAACGGAGGAAAATATAACTGTTCAAGAATCAGTAATAATTAAAAAAAAACACAAAACCATGTTAATCATTTATTTATATTCATTGTTAACAAGTTGTTTAACTTTAGAAATATAATAAAAAATATTCATAAAATGTTGATTTTTAATAGAAATGATATTTTATTATAAAATATGATTGTTAATGAAAAGTGATACATAATATAACAAGATATGATAATGCAGTATAAATGGAACATAGAACGCCTGTTTCAATCATTTTGATATATGGCGATTCCAATATCGAACCTTTACGTCTTGTGTAGCAAGCAAGTTAGTTGTCAGTTTGTTTTCGATCTTTGAGTTTGACTGTCCCTCTGGTATCTTTCGTCCCTCTATTTTAGACCTCGCAAACATGTTTTACAGTGTGAAAGTTGTGACAATGACACTATCGCCTTCGTAATACAGGTTTGTACGACAACCTTACCTTTCATTACATCAGTTTCAAAATGAGAACGTAACTGGGCTTGGAGCCTTAATGATAACGATTAAAAGAGAGGCGAAAGATACCACAGGGACATTCAAACTCATAAGTCAAAAATATACTGGCAACGCCATTAAAAACATTAATGATTATGATTAAGAAATTTTGAAAAGCGTTCTACTGAATTTCTTGCAAACTTGAGTTTTCATTTTGTTGTATGTTATACAATCTTGTTATGCTAGCTATAAAA